ATGAGCCAGTCGAGACTGTCGGATCTGGCTGTGCTGTCCATTGAAAATGAGCTTACAAGACAAACAGATTTTGACGATGTTATTGACCAGTTTGCCACAATGAAAACAAGAAAACATTCATTCTAAGACCATAGTATCGAATGTCATTCTTTTGTCTATTGCCGTGTTTTGTATTTAGTTGTTCTGAAAGTGAACAGTTGCATTTTAAAAATCTTTTGATTTGAACTGATTATTTTGTGGTATTGGATTTTGTCTTGGATCATACATATAAACAGTAACGTACCGGTCAGTAGAGTAAAGTAGAGGTAGAGCATGTATGAAAATTTAGCTACAGCTAACCATTCAGCAATAATTCAGGCTCTATTACCCAGTGGCGTAGCTAGAGTAATGGGTAATAGAGCCTGAATTATTCTTTTCAACTTACAATTAAAATGTTATAATTATTATTACCTATTTACATTGTCTAATGTTCCTCTCTTTATTATTAACAATGTTTTAGTTGTCATACTGTCTGGCTTCCTTGAGGATCTGTTGGACACATAATGAGGAAAGAGGGGTTGGAAAACTTAACATTCACAGAGCATATCTAGGACATGAGAGATAGGGGAAGGCAGTGGGTCACCTACCTGACTAGCTTATATGAATGGATTGTGGAACCTCTTGGCAAAAGGAGAAATGCTGCAAAGGGCCACAAAGGATAGGAAGTTGTGGAGAGCCATCATTCACATCCTGAAAGGACACTGTAGAAAAAAATGTCTCTTCTGAGCATAGGTTCTTATGGCTCTCCACATTTTCCTTTTTCTTTAATACCTCTGAATTTCTATATATATATTATTTTTTTTTTTTTTTTTTTTTTTTTTTTTACAATGATGTTCACCCTGTACAAAGGCCCGGGAGCCACTCAAAGCAGAGGGTTACAGAGTATAAATCATAGTTTATATGAATATGTGATCAGGAAGTATTGTCTTTGGAGTGTGTTCCACAGAGCAGTGGTTCATGGAAAGAAACTGCTTGAGCGGAATTAGCATCTCACCAAAGGTATATTTGTATAGATGTAGTATGTATTTCTTTAAGTTTATTTCCTCTAGCTCTTACCCAGTGAAGGGTGCCCACAAGGTAGTGGTTCAGGAAACTTGTGTGTCAGATGATTCATCTACCTTTTATTGTGCACTTAGCTACCATCCTCCCCAAATAAGCCTGGTGGGGGAACCAGTTTATTGCTAATTACTTGACTGTGCAGGTGAACTATAGAAAATGTAACATGTGTAGAAAGAATGTTCATTAAGGTATTGTTACTGATATAAAAGATATATATTTCTGTTCATGCTAAAATACTGTCATATGACTTAAGGTGATTAACTTTATTTTCTCTATTTAATTTGGATGCTATTATCAATTTTATAACGATCATGTTTCTAATTGTGGGTGTTTGTTTATTACTCTGTAACACAGCAAAAAAAAAGTTTTTTGTTGTGACAGTAATATTAAAACGCTGTAGCTAAAATAAAGCATTTTTGGTCCAATTTACTAATAGTGTGGAATTTACACCATGCCCACTAGTAATAATAATAATAATAATCTAGTTTGTGTTTGTTGCACAAGCTGAAAGGAAAATCATATCAACATTAAAAGAGAATATAAAATAAAAATGTACTAACTGTTGCATAAAATAATTATAAATGTGAAATAATATCACAATAATTGTTAAAAAGTATATAGAAATAATTTAGGGCTATCATTATGTTTTTGCAGATATTATTAATTTCATTTTATTTTCCTCTTCCATCATGAACATTTTTACACTTTAGGAAAATTATTTCTTGCAGTAAATTGTAAGCATGAATATTTTAAAAAATCAATAACTCCGGTCTCCTGCTGATTAGGGATTAGTAATACATGTAAAGCTAACTTTAAATTTTAAATGTTTGACTGATTACAGAGTAGTCTCACCTTATGTATTTACAATTGATTTTAATATAAATTCTATAAATCAGAAGTGACTTGATATTAAGTGCTGCCTTTGGTAGCCTTTAAGTTACTATAAAGCGAAAGCACCATGAAGCACTTTTCATTAAATAACTTTATTTATGTATCACATATGACACTTAACTGACTGGCTTGATTGACAGCTAGGTCTTGTAATTTTAAAATTGAAATTGCTTGATGTAACCATAAGTTCTAACAGTTTCTTGTACTTTCTGCTTGGGGAACTCTCTTCCAGCTTCTTGCTTTCCAATCAAATTTAATCTTCATAAATTTAAATGCAATGTCAATTGTCATCTTCTGAATTCCTTAGTTTCTATTCTTTTATTGGTCTCTCCTCTTAATGTTTTCTTCTATTCTTTCATACTTAGTATCTTAGTGGTTTTATCACCTTGGGCAAAATGATTAAAATTGATGTTAAGGCTTGATGTAGTGTATATAAATGTGGGGATTACCTGCTGTCTGCTTCCAATTGTGCTTTTAGCCTATATCCTGGTGATTAAATTAGTGCCTTTTTTTTTTTGTAATGATAAACTATCATTTTGGAAAGTGAAAATGTGTGTGAAACCTGTTGGGAATGATGAAAATATGAATTTCAAACAAAATGGTCAAAATATAGGGAAAAAGGAAGGTGTCAGTTTAAACATATGCCAGAAGGATATGGGTTAAGCAGTTAATATTTTTTATGCTGATTTCATAATGAGTTGGGGAATGAGTGTTTTCTTCTGCAAATGAATAAGGAAAAACTAATCCATATTATTGGTAAATTTGTATGTATGTGTAAATAAATAAATATACAATATTTGATGAACTATTAGATGATTGGCAAGGGTATTTTGAGGATTACTATTCACTGCGCTTAGGGCCATATCATGTTGAAACACCAGTTCTCGTTCAATCACCAAAGTTAAGCAACATTGATCCTGGTCAGTACCTAGATGGTGACTGCTTGAAAATACAAGGTACTGTAACCTTGGATGTGTGGGTCTTGTTATGAATAATAGCTCAAATGAACAGAGTTCAAATTCCAGTCAAGTTTGTTACATGTAAATACCCTTAGGAAAGGTATGAATCTCCCCCCTCTGCTATGGGTTAAATAGCAAGACAGACTAGGTTCTATAGTCTTGGCTGCTAACCAGTCTACCACAGAAAATAATAGCAAGTTACTGCAAGAATTCTTTTGCCAAGTCAATTAATATGATCGCCCAAGCTTGCATCCCACATGGCACCTAAGGAAGGAAGGAATTTTCACAGCAATGTTTCAAATCTTCAGTAGTTGAAGCTGATATCCTTGTCATCAGACTAGCACATTGGATGTTGTGTAATATTTTTTTAAAATATACAGCAAATATTGTGGGGTGTGGGGACTCTAATAGCTTTTTCTTTTTTCTTGCACATTTCATCTGTGGGATTCCTGCAACACCAATCACTATCTTGTCTTCCTGAACCCTTTTCTTTTATTGTTTTTTCTTCTCATTTAAGGTCTTCTCATTCTTTTTCACTCTCAGTAACTCCTTACATCCTACTGTAATTATTACCTTGCTTGGGGTGAAATATGTATATATGTTAGCTTGAGCACTTTCCATTAAATACCACACACACACATATATATATATATATATATATATATATAAAATATCATTGACAGTTTTCATTTGTATAAAAAATATCTTCTATGTGTAGTATATTTATATCATCTTATATAAATATTGGGTTTATTTAGACCCAGACTGTGTTACTATAGACAACCCCTAAGGTCCTTTATTTTCTAACTTTTACATGGCCCATTTTGAAAACAAAATACTTAGTGAATTAATCTGTCAGTGATGGGTAATGTGCATCTATATATATATATATATATATAATTTCCAGTTATACACTTACATGCACACACACATATATGGAGTGTCTATGTTGATGCAGAAATTTTTGTGAATTCACAAGCACTAATACACATGCTATTATTGATGTGTGTAAGAAGTTGATACAGTGTGTGCGTGCATAATAAATTTGATATGCTATTAAAATTAAACCTAATTTAGCACAAGGCCTTAAAATACTTGACATTCTGAAGTATTTTTTTTTATTTTTTATCTATGGCTTTTTGTATGTATGTTCTCAGGACATATATTCACTTACACATATTAATTTGTCTGAACAAGTGTAACACACTCACACACACACACACATATATATATATATATATATATATATATATATATATATATATTCTTACAGACTGATGATTAGCAAGATAAATATTTGTCCTGCAGGCACATTGTAAATTAAATATTTCAATTTAATATGTTTCGGCAACATATGAACTGGTTGACATGTAAAATAGTTTTAGAAACTAGGACTCTATTTTTTATCTTGATGTATTTTGCTTAAATAAAAGCTGCATTGCTCATTCCATAGATTTCTATAAAATAGAAATTATAATTTTATTGTCATTGTATATTGTAAATTTATAAGAAATTTCTACTACTACTAAAAATATATTCTCCTTCAGTGAGTATACCAGTATCTGTCTGCCTCTCATACTAGTGAGCAACTGCTCTATGCATGACTTTCTTGTTTTTTTTTGGGGGGGGGGTTCACACTGCATCTGTATGTACGGTCAATATTTTTTGTGTGTGTGTGTTTAACAGACCAACCAGTTTTTGTATCTACTTTCTCTTGATATTGATTACACCTGTAATTTATTCAAATGCACTGCAGAGCAGAATAAGATTGTGAGGGTGGGAGAACAGCAAGCAGGCAAGAAAGGTTTTATAAAATGTTAAGAGGTTAAGTATTATTTCTAATTTTATATCTCTCTCTCTCTTTCTCTCTCGTTCACCGGTCTGCCTATATTGTCATTTGTTCTGATAGTGTGTCTGCATTTCACATAAGGACTGCATCTCCTTGTTTTCTGACAAAAGGGATTGGTTGGACAGGTTTGTGATGGATACAATGAAAAAAAAAAAAAAAAAACAGAAAGCAGAATATACAAATTTCTTTAACTTTCAATCCAGAAAAAACTTTCTGGGCATCCAAATGTGATCCAGTTCATCTCAGCAGCATCCATTGGTAAAGAGGAGTCTGACCATGGCCAGGCAGAATACTTAATTTGCACAGAACTCTGCACAGGTAAAGAATAAACAGTCACTACCTCTGCAATTCTTTCTTTCTTCTATCCTGTTTAATAATTTTGTATACAAGGCAAGTCGAAATTTATATGCCAAAGAAATAAACTGATCCAGAGATATGTTATCCAAGTGCGTACGATTCTTTTGTTCACGTGTTTCAGCTAGATTCTCTTATGAAGTAATGTCTAGACTTTTTCAGAGTTTCAGTGACGTTCATACTTTTTGTTTTTAAAAGTTTTAATGTACAATTTAAAAGTCTTTTACTAGTTTTAAAACAAATTTTATCTTTTTTTTAATTAGTTTAGCATTGTGTTTTTTGGGAAAAGTTCTGAATATACTATTTTTCTATATAGATTTTGATTGTGTTGATAGATAAAAATGGTTTATAGACATTAATTAAAAGCTAGAAACCATAAATAATACTTTTTCTTTCAAGTAAGATTTTTTTTTTTTTTAAATCATTGTTACTTTAGCAAAACTGAAAAATCTGAATTTTAGAAGGAATATATCTTCCTGAAAAAGTTTTTTTTTAAAAATGTATCATTCTCATTAACTTAAGTTTTTAACTAGATTATTTTTAAAAATGTTTTTTTTTTTTTATTTGTCTAATATATAACCATAAGATTTCTTGATTTAATGAATTAATTTTTAACCTACATAATCTGAAAGGTGTAAAATGACTGAGAAGGGTTGAGGCTCCATTAAGCAAAATCTTATTTCCTCTGAAGAAAAATGTTATTAGGATAAATTTCAGTTGTTTGATATTTTTAAATTTGTGAAGGTAACAAAACTTTTTGCTGAAAATCTAACAAAAATTATTTAGGTAAGTGCTAATATATTAGAAAATGGTTTATTGTTTGGTGGTAAATTGATGACACATGATTTTGACTCACTTTGTGTGACAAAGTAAACTATCCTTTTTTTTCTTTCTCTTTTTACTTGTGTTTCTTTTTGCTCTCGTTTCTTTCATTTTGCTCTCATTTCTTATTTTCCTCCTTTTGTTTCTTTCTTATTTTTCTCCTTTTGTTTCTTTCTTATTTTTCTCCTTTTGTTTCTTTCTTATTTTTCTCCTTTTGTTTCTTTCTTATTTTTCTCCTTTTGTTTCTTTCTTATTTTTCTCCTTTTGTTTCTTTCTTATTTTTCTCCTTTTTGTTTCTTTCTTATTTTTCTCCTTTTGTTTTTTTTCTTATTTTTCTCCTTTTTGTTTCTTTCTTATTTTTTCTCCTTTTGTTTTTTTCTCTTATTTTTTCTCCTTTTGTTTCTTTCTTATTTTTCTCCTTTGTTTTCTTTCTTATTTTTCTCCTTTTGTTTCTTTTTTTTTTTTTCTCTTTTTGTTCTTTTCTTATTTTTCTCCTTTTGTTTTCTTTCTTTTTTTCTCCTTTTGTTTCTTTCTTATATTTTTCTCCTTTTGTTTCTTTCTTATTTTTTCTTTTGTTTCTTTCTTATTTTTCTCCTTTTGTTTTCTTTCTTATTTTTCTCCTTTTTTTTTCTTTCTTATTTTTCTCCTTTTGTTTCTTTCTTTTTTTCTCCTTTTGTTTCTTTCTTTATTTTTCTCTTTTTGTTTCTTTCTTATTTTTTCTCCTTTTGTTTCTTTTCTATTTTTCTCCTTTTGTTTCTTTCTTATTTTTCTCCTTTTGTTTCTTTCTTATTTTTCTCCTTTTGTTTCTTTCTTATTTTTCTCCTTTTGTTTCTTTCTTATTTTTCTCCTTTTGTTTCTTTCTTATTTTTCTCCTTTTGTTTCTTTCTTATTTTTCTCCTTTTGTTTCTTTCTTATTTTTCTCCTTTTGTTTCTTTCTTATTTTTCTCCTTTTTGTTTCTTTCTTTATTTTTCTCCTTTTTGTTTCTTTCTTATTTTTTCCTTTTGTTTCTTTCTTATTTTTTCTCCTTTTTTTTTCTTTTTATTTTTTTCTCCTTTTTGTTTCTTTCTTATTTTTCTCCTTTTTTTTTTCTTTCTTTATTTTCTCCTTTTTGTTTCTTTTTATTTTTCTCCTTTTGTTTCTTTCTTATTTTTCTCCTTTTTTTTTTTTTCTTATTTTTCTCCTTTTGTTTCTTTCTTATTTTTCTTTTTTGTTTCTTTCTTATTTTTCTCCTTTTTTGTTTTTCTTTTTTTCTCCTTTTGTTTCTTTCTTATTTTTCTCCTTTTGTTTCTTTCTTATTTTTCTCCTTTTTGTTTCTTTCTTATTTTTCTCCTTTTGTTTTCTTTTTTTTTTTCTCCTTTTTTTGTTTTTTTTTTTTTTTTTTTTGTTTGTTTCCTTTTTTTTCCATTTTTTTGTTTGTTTCCTTTTTTTCATTTTTTTGTTTGTTTCCTTTTTTTTTTTTTTTTTTTTTTTTTTTTTTTCATTTTTTTGTTTGTTTCCTTTTTTTTCATTTTTTGTTTGTTTCCTTTTTTTCATTTTTTTGTTTGTTTCCTTTTTTTCATTTTTTTGTTTGTTTCCTTTTTTTCATTTTTTTGTTTGTTTCCTTTTTTTTCATTTTTTTGTTTGTTTCCTTTTTTTTTTTTTTTTTTTTCTTTTTTTTTTTTTTTTTTTTCTTTTTTTTTTTTTCATTTTTTTTTTTTTTTTCCTTTTTTTTTTTCATTTTTTTGTTTGTTTTCTTTTTTTCATTTTTTTGTTTGTTTCCTTTTTTTTCATTTTTTTTTTTGTTTCTTTCCTTTTCTTTTTTCATTTTTTTTTTGTTTCTTTCCTTTTCTTTTTTTCATTTTTTTTTTTGTTTCTTTCCTTTTCTTTTTTCATTTTTTTTTTGTTTCTTTCCTTTTCCAGATGTCTGAATCACTTCAACAAGTTTTCTTTGTAATTAAATTTCTAGGACTAAATTACATTAAGTTTACCTTTTATGTGGAAAATATTAAAAAAAACTCAAGTTTTATGAGCACACAGATAAGGATTATATGGTTCTGTTTTGTCTGCAGATTTGTAATGAGTAATAAAAGCAGTCTTGATTGCTAAATATTTGTCAGTTAAAGAGAGAATGTTACTTGACCTATAGGATAGTTTGGAAAATATTACTTATAAATAATAAAATAATACTGATATAATTGTAGACTAGATTTAGATCACATAGTCACTACTGAAATAGACAAATCAACCTATTGTGTAAATATTCAACATACCTATAAGTTTTGTTAAATTGTGATTTTATGAAATTATTTTTTAAAATTTTATTGTATACATTAAACAAGAAAAAGTTCGATATTTCGTTTTTAGATTTTAATTTTGCAAAACTACCTTTTCTATATTTTGAAATGAGAAAATTGTACAATATGGCAACAATTAAGATTTGCTGTTTTTTAATTTCATTTAATCATGTTTTCTCAAAATGAAAATTTGTTGTAAAAATGTTTTTCTTCTGGTTTTAATTTGAAGCAAAAAACAGTTACTGGATTGATTAGATACAAAAGTAGCCTGCATAAATATAATAAATAAAAATACATACTTTCTTACCTTTTGATTTTTTTTTTTTTTTTTAACTTAATACACACAATATGCAGTAATGAATAATGTTTTTTTTGTTTTTAATGAAAAAAAATGAAGTGGTCATATCCTGGAAAAATTTGCTTCATTTCATATTTTTTTATATATTTTTTTCTGCTTTTTAATTTTTTTTTAAACTTAACTTTCTTTTGTTGTTTGCAGACTAGAAAAAGTGTCTGCATTTTTATGTACAACCCTCCCCCTCCACACACACACACACACCAAAATATTGTCAATTTTCATTGTAACTAAAACTGATCATCATATTTGCTTTATTACATCTATACTTAAAGAATATAAGATCCAAACATTTGCAGATGATGTAACTGGGTATTACATCTTCACTTCCAGCATTAATCATACAATTAGAATACATGAATATACTCAATTTTTAATACACCCTTCAATTACACACACTCACACTTGCCATGAGGTTTACATGTGATGCTCACATTACAAAATTGACACATACATACACACTATTGCTATAAAATACACACATATCTGAACATCCTATGAAAACAAAACATCATAGAATTTAAAACTCAAAGCAAATTCAAGCTTATATCATTGAAACATTATCCCATTGAAACATCATATCTCATATGATCACCAAAGTTAAGCAACGTTGATCCTGTCAGTACCTAAATGGATGACCATGTGGGTAGGAATACCAAGTGGTGTAAGCTTGGATGTGCAAGCAGTGTAGTGGATAATGACTTGGAAATTGGAGAGCCAAGTTTCAGTTCCAGCTGGGTTTGTTATATTCACTTAAGCTAATAACCTTGGGAAAGGTATGAATCCACCTCTTTTCTCCACCAGCTATGGGGTAATTAGGACCTGTATCTGTAAATTATTATCTGAGTTAGAGAGCCTAGTCTGCTCTATTATTAACCCATAGCTGGGGAGATAAAAGATAGATTCATACCTTTCCCATGGGTATTTGTGTGAAAGTGAATGCCTCAGCTAGAATTTGAACTTAACTCACTGATCCCTTATAATTACGTACATATCTTTTAAAATATTCATAGTTTAATTAAACTTTTATTGTTATTTTTTTTAATCAAATAACTTTAGTGAATAGAAGAATTGTTGCCCGAGAAGAAAATTTTGTTTGAAAAAATTATTGAAAACAAATTTCAAGAACAATATTTCTTTCATTTTCAGTTGGGGATTTGTTAATTCAAATAATTTTCTATTTTACTCAAAACTGATCTTTAATTTCTACTAGGAATAATTATTGATATCTTATACCATGCCTGTTGGCACTTAAACTCAGCCCAGACCTCAAGTGGAACTTGTATATATTATCCATCGCCATAGATGATGGAAAAATGATCAGTTCCTTGTGCCACTCAAACAAGTACTTCACTATTCCTGCTATCATCTACCTTTACAAGAGCCAGGTCAGGCCTAAAATGGAGTACTGCTGCCATATATTGAGAGGAGCTGTCCAGTTTTCCCTTTCCACTCTCAATAGTCCAAAAACGTCTCTGTGTCCTTGCAAGTGACAAATTATCTTCCATCCTAAAACTCCTTCCTCACAAACAAGATGTTGCAATCCTCCTACTGCTTTATCGCTATTTCTATGGAAAGGTTTTTGATGAACTACGCTCCTTAGTTCCAGCAGTCCTAACCTTCACAGCTATACCATGTACATTGTACCGAATCACACTCGTTCCCTTCGTATTTCTTTGGTGAGAGGCAAGTTCCACTTGAGCAGCTTCTTCCCACAAATCACTGCCTTTGGAACAGACTCCCAAAAGAATGCTTCCCCAATCACTACAATCTTAAGCTGTTCAAGTCTACAGTTAACTGTTATCTTCCACACACATCCACATAAGCTGTGCTTCTTACTTTGTAACTCTCTACTTTGAGAGCCCCCCCAGGCTTTGTACAGGGTGAATACCATTGTGCAAAAAAAACAAATGTGTCACTAAACAGAAGTATGTCAATTGCCTGATAGTAAAGTCAATTTTTAAGATGCAGATTATCCTTAACCTTTACCACACTGCAGGTGACAATAGTTGCTGTAGAATTCTCTTCCTTTGCTACTCTAGGCGCATTCTGTCACCTTGAGATGGTTGCTATAAATAAACACTTATCAACTATTATTTTCAGTATTTTAAACTAGAAATTGCCTACTACTGAAACTTCTGTTTTCCAATGCCATTTTGAATTCTTCTAGACTCTACACAAGGTGTAACACCAATTAAACCCATATTAGTTTTGTGTAAACAAAAATGGACATGTCAATATCCAACAAAACCTTTATTCAGGAGTTTTTCTTTGATTAGGACTCCAATGATGATTTTGAAGGCTTTACTTGAGTGGATATTGACAGTGAAGTGGTCAAATATGATAACCACACTAGTGACATGGATGAAAGCAATGATGACCACTAGCAGCTACTATCATCCATGCCTGACTAATTTTATGGAAGCTACTAGTGACCATCGATATAACTGATAGCCTTTCTGAAGGTGAATTATTTTGTCTATTTATAAACAACAAAATAGTAACTTTATTTGTCAATGAAAACAAAGAGCAAACAAATGCTAGTGTCTTCTCATAAGTAAACACATGGAAACACGTCACTTTTTTGATGAAATGAAAGCCTTTTTAGCGTTTTTTTTTTTTTTTTTTTTCTTATTGCACACCCAGAACTCCGCAAGGAGTAATAAAAGTTAAAGTACAATGAATTGTTTATGTATTTTTTTAATGTATTTGTTTTTTATTTCGTGTTTTTTATTTCACTTTTCAATTTTTTTGTTTTCATCTTCGAAACATGCAGGCAAAATGTAATACATTACATCAAAATATTATTCGTTCATTCTTTTATTAGTGTACAAAAATTAAAATCTATACACACAATACAAAGAAAGTTATAGCAATCTTAAAACAGTAGATGTTTGTTTTTGGGCCCTAACAAAAAATGCTGTGGCAGAGAGAACAATTCTAGAAAAAGATTTAGCATGGTAAAAGTTTATATATAAACTCACATATATATCTTGGTTGTTTTACTTGCATTTCAGCTGTTGTACATTCTGGTTCTCTTTGTTTGTTTTACTTGGTAAACTTCTTGATATTTTGAGCCAAACCCTTTATTCAGTCTGTTGGGGTGACTTGTTCCTCCAAAATATGCCTACAAGGCAGCAGCTTTCCTATGGGATCCTCATTATATCCAGTAATAGCAAACCTATATATGGAATATGTTGAAGAAATTGCTATAGGAAGGTCACAACTAAAACCAACCATGTAGCTTAGATAGATAAATAACAATTTCATACTCAGGCCCCACCAAAAAAATGTATAAGTACTGCTGGGGAACTTGATAAGATTTTCTATGCAATTCACATTGGAAAAGGAAGCAGACCAACTAGCCCTCTTGAATGTATTAACAGAGTATGGGTTCCAGATGTCCATATGTCATAGCCAACTATCACCAGACAATACCTGAATTTCAATTCCCACCATCCATGCAACATTGAGAAAAGAATCATCCAATACCTACAACGTCAGGTCAAAAATAAGCAATGACCCAGATACATATCAAAAGCATTATAAACACCCTTCAAGGTGGCAAGTACCTTGAAAGCATCTCTGAATAAGGACGAAAATGTCATAGTAACAATAAAAAATCTGCCATGGTCTGTCTACCAACTATCTATAAAGAATATATCAGAAAACATTTGTAGTATTTGTGGTTCATTCAAAACAGTTTTTCCCTTTGGAGTTATCTCACCCTGCTTGGAAAAGAACATGACCAAGTGTTGTTTGTATTTCATGCCATGTGGTTGTAGCAAGGTATACAAAGGTCCATAAAAGTAAGGATATAAGAACATTGAAAGGCTGTAGTCGAGGGAGAGACACTGAAATCAGGTAGGGTTGATCATGTATAGAGGGAAAAGTGGTCATTAACCCCTGTAGAATGAAATCCAAGTAATAGAGAACAAACTTAAGATTAAGATGACTGAAAAAATTAGTGCGCATATTTGGCTCTGACAGTAGACCTAGTATAAAGACGAACACCATCTGGGAGCCTCTGATTAAGTAAAAAAGGATGCTCATAAGTTCTATCACATGAGTAAAGTATTGGGTTTAAAAGTTCCAACATTACACCATTGGAAATTAACAAGTGGATTAAAGCATTGATTAAGACATATCTGGTTTTCTGGCAGCTGTGAATTCAAACCTAATTTTGTTGTGTGAAAAATCATACTCTTGATCAGTAGAAGAAACAGACAAATGACACAAAAGGCAAAATAGGATGGAGAGTATTAATTCATATGAAATTTATCCTAAGCATCGAAAGTGGAATGA